CTTGGGGCGCCGCTCGGGGCCGTCCCTGCCCCTCACCCGGGGCCGTCCCTGCCCCCCGCCTTCACCTCCCGCTCTCCCGCAGGCAGAACAGGGATTGCCAGGGGGCCAGCGCGGCCTCGGGCCGGTCACTGTTTAAGACTTGGCCAGTTATCACTTCCCGCACAGGTTAACACAAAGCACGACTTCCAATTTCATAACTCATCCCCTTTTAGCAGCGTCTTTATCCAGAAAACAAACAGCCAGAAAACACTCTTCACAAGAAAAGAAATACCCCACTGTGGGCTTTTTGGTTTTTTTTTTTTTTTTAATTTTTTCCCAGCTCACTGGCTGTCACAGCAACCAAAACATAAGTCAAGTCTGAAATGGAGTCCTCGGTCAAACCTCGGCCGGTTTTGGCTGGCAGGCACATGGCAGACTGCAGCTCAGTCCTCTACCCAAGACAGAGAAGAAAGTGCTCTGAGCTCTGGATGTGCCTCCTTCACTCCAGGTTCCAGAGCTGAGGATACACATGATGACTCAGTACTACACAGACCCCTAAAACACAATGTTCCTCCCCATTTCCAAGACACGAAAATTATCTATTGCTGCAAAAGCATATGGTTAGTCCATGTGATTTGCCTCTCCTCCTAACTTACGACCTACACAGAGCTTCTCTGACCTGTTCTGGCACAGCTGCTCTGTCAAGGAGCTGCTTCTTCCACAACAGCAGCACCCCTTTCCCCCATCATTACAGGCCTCTCCACTACCTGTGGAGGACAGGTTTGATACCCACCTGTCAGGTATCAAACAGTCACAAATCCACACCTTAAAACAAACTTCAATTTTTCAGGATGTCCCACTTACGGACAGAAAAGTCAGTGTGCTGGTAAGCAAAATGAAATCAACACAGGAATGGCACCGTGTCAAGGCGTACCCAAACGAAGCCATCGCACCCATGTAGGAATCCCCTGAGCTGACAGTTAAGGACCTTCTTCGGTCCTTGTGACAAACCCAAAATCACAGGAACAGATAAGGCATGACTTGCACCATCAGTTTATGCCAGCTGTCACAGTACCACTGTGAGACGAACTTTTACAATGCAGTAAGAAGCACAATCACCTACAGTCCATACAGCAGAAACAAGCTACTTCCCCCTTATTGGAGAAGGCGGCCTCGCCAGGTCCCGGCATCGAGGATCCCGGCCATACGCAGAGTTACCATTCGCATTACGGCTGACTGGGTGTCTGGGAAACACAGCTGCGTTTCAGCTGTTACACCTTCCTTACAAGTCATGTGCATCAGCCAGGCCTACATATACATATCCTACACAGCCTCGGTGGGGATCACGCTGGAGAGCTGGGCCTGCCCAGATCTTTGTGGAAATCTTTCTTCTAGGCCTTTCCGATGCACATTTAAGTATGTGAAGGGATCTTCTTTTAAACTCAGCTTTCATCCCAATGCTGCAGGAGTAGGAATTGTACCTCAGCTGTGGAAGCATCTCTCATTGAATACAACTAGATACACGGCACAGCAGACTAGTTTCCTTCACCTGGGGAGCAGCAGGAGCCGTGTCGGGGTGGCCAGTGTCTAACCTGCTGCTTAGTATTTATTGATGCCGAAGATTCGAACGCCATGTAACTGTGGCAGCTTGGGGATGAGCACGGTCAGGAGAGAGGCTGTGTTGAGGACAAAGTGTGTTGGGTCATACTTTGTGTAGAAACTCGCCAGGAAGTACCTGCGGGAGAAAAGGGAACAAGCTCAGCTGGTGACACCCTTGTCTAGAAAATAAACAAATAAAGCATAGTTGAAAAAAGTGTTTCAGTGATCAGTAGTATTTTATTGGTTAACAACCAATTTATTCCTGACCAAACCTCTCACCTGAAGTTCTAGAATATCTGCAGCAAAATTATGGACTTAAGACTCTTCTCATCCCTCCCAGGGTGCTGAAAAGGCTACTATTTTCCTCCAGCACTTCTCCCCGTCCCTCAAATTGGAGTCCGACTTCTGCAGCTACAAGACTGATCTATCATACAGGTTTTAAATAGCGTAAGATCCATTACCAATAATTTAGTCTTGTTCTTTGCAAAAACTAGTCACAGAAACGAGGCTATCAGATTGATGGGGTTTTGTTTTTTTCCCAGCAAACTGGAGATGTTTATTCAGCTACTTACGCATTGTTACTGCATGAATAGAACCATACACAGGTGTTATGAATACTAAATTCCCACTGGAAAGCGGGAAGCTATCTTTGAAAAAAGAGGGGTTTTTTTGAGGAGTTATAGATATATATTTTCAGTTTCTATCCTTTGTGAACCAACTTTCTAAAGACGATGCAGGATCTTCCCTTCCCTCCACCCCCTGCAATGCAAGTGGACAACTTCCTTCAGGGAAAAACAGAAAGACACTTTAGAGTTGGATATTAAATACGTATCTGATTTCCTTTAGTTACACCACCATTCTTTTGTCAACAGAAACAGGCGGTGTAGAATTTCTGATCTATTTACATAACTTGTGTAAACAGAAGGCAATCTGTACAAAGCAAAACTGAGGTGCAAAATCCTGGACCCTGTTCAGCGAGGATGGCCACACTTCTCCACACTCACAAGTTGCATAAATGCTGTCATGTGCCAAACGCAATTCGTTTAGATTTTCAATATTTACACCTCCACAATCTCTTAAAGAACTTCAGGAGTTAACAGCGAGTTTTCCTCACAACATTTCTGATCTTTAAAACCTGTCCCATTAACAAATGTTTACAAACTTCAACCTCAGGATGTGAACTGGAGTGTCAAAAGCTGCAGGAAGAAAGACTGTTGATTATATGGCCTGTAAATATGTACTCCCTACCTTTGCAATTGATGTAGAAACAAACAAACAGGCAAACAAAAAAAAAAAAAGAAAATGCTTTCAGAGTGTAAATAGCATGCCATTTTGTTGTGGTTTTTGAAATCACAGGTTTATGATTCAATTAATCCATAATACAGTTTTGAACTCACAGAATTATAGGAGAGATTGTGAAGAATTTCCTTGAAGATGTAAACTGTACTCCATAATCCAGTTGTTCCCAGTGTGTTAGTAGCCTAGCTTCCCCCTGATCAGGCGTTTCAAAAGGAGTTCCCTTTACTGCGTGCAAAAACACATACATCCCCTGGGGAAAAGAAAAAGGAAATACGGTGACGCGTTCAGCTGTTATTTTCTTAGAACTGTTACGTTGCCCAATGCACTGTAAACAGAGAGTAAATGAATTCCCGCCCAGAAGAGGTGCTAGCCTTTAATGACAAATTATCGAAGAGGAAGGAAGAGGCAAGGAGGGATTTGTCCCAGGTTGTGCAGTCAGTGGCATAGCCAGAATTAAAGCCAAAGCTGATGCGACATCCGATCCACTGCCTTGTCTCCTACGTGAGAAGGCTGAAACTGTGTGAAACCAAGAGACTTCTAACAAGCACTGTAACAAGTTTAGGGCTGACGATTTAGACGACCACTTTCCTGCCACAATGCTACTGCCTAGGTGGCGTCTGCACAAGGCAAAGATCTACCTACGAATACTGGCAACGTTACAGAACTTTTGAAAGCCTTCTCAGCTCCCGCCAGCTTCGAACACCTAGAAGCTGACGACCAGCAGTCTGTTGAAGACCTTCTCTCCATTTCTTTGCGGCTCCTCCTTAACCACACTGGACTTTGGGATCGTTTCTGTTTGATGGGCTCATGCCACGTCTGGTCTGTTCCAAAAGATCCTTTTGGGCCCACTGGTTTCAGACAGGGGAGTCCACCCTCTCCTCGCTTTAGCAAACATTTGTTTGCTATCAAAGAGAGCACACCAACCCCAAGAAAGAGTTGTTATCAGAAAATACCACATTTCCTTTTCCTTTTTTCAGGTTCTTTCGTATGCACATACAGAAATTGTTACAGACACCTTTATATAGAAAAATCACATTCCTTCCAATTTCTTAATAAAGGAGGTGAAATTTGAGCAAGTCACTTCATGTCTTCTTTCATATTTTTATTTGGAACAGCTTGCTGACCGGAGGTATATTAACCTGAGAGAATTAATTTGCCTAATTCCTTGATTCATAATGTTTGCCGAGTCTCAGCTTTAATAACTTAAGCAAAAGGCACTTTCAGGACAGACCCAAATGCTTACTACACATTCTATTTTGCACTGGTTCTTGAAGAAAGGAGCACCAAAAATGCTTTCAAGGTTTGCTAAGGGTTTTCCATTAGTGGAAATCCAAGACTTTTTTGTTTGTCAAACCACTCAAGGATTTGTTTCCAAAGAAGTGCCATTTAAATGCCAAAATATGCAAAAGTGCAGTTTATGCTCATCTTCTAGTGTTTCCTTAGAAAACTACTTGCCAGTGCATGCTCTCATCCCCGCTGTCATTACAGCTACTTGGAGCGAATTCAGTAAGGCATTTGGGAAATATTTAGTAATACTTGTCTCTGCCAACACCTTCCCAAGCCAGGCTTGTCTGACACTGTCAAAGACAGCATACAAAATGCCCTAATGATGCTTACAATCCTACTGTTAGTTTTAAACCTATCTGCAAAAATAAAAAGCTCAAAATAATAATAAAAAAACCCACCAAACACTTTTTTTAACAGGATGCAAGACGGTATTATCCAACCTCAGTCTTCAAAGTGAACTATCATCTTCAAGACCTCTTACCTGTTAATCTTAGAAAACTGAGTTAGCAAACCTCAAGCATGATGTAAATTGCTGGATTATGGCCCTCTTTTTCTCTAAGCTTGCCAGGACCAATATACATATGTGCAACACTTTAAATGATTACAACAAAATTATAGCATCCTTGGGAAAAGAGGCTGAAAGATTCTTAAAAGTCTTCAGCTTCCAAATCCTTTTGCATACAAAAGTCATGCAAATCACAACCCAGAGAATAACAAATAGTTTCAGGGCTTGGGTCAAGGAGCACAGTTTTTCCCAGTGCTTTCAAGTAAGATTTCTTCTTATGTCATATATAGTGACAAAGTTGTACGCTCAAGTTATTTGGAGCTGAAATTTATCTAGCTTGACCAGAAATCAAACCAAAAGGAAAAGAACACAAACGTTTCTGCCCAAGGAAACAGGTGAAGTGCTGAAATTAAACATTTTGGGACACTAACAGATTCATGTAGAAACATTAGTAGATAATATCCAGGAATTCAACATGTAATATATTTTATGGATTTAGCACAGTCCTCTAATACTGTACAAAATCCTGTGAAAGTCGGTTTGCGTGATGATTTTATGTTTGCAAGATTCTAGCTTAATTAAATGCCTTTTAGAAGAATACATAAACAACACAAGGAATATTTCACATCTTTTGTGCTCAAGCCCAAAGTGATCATCTACCAGTCCTCCTCCCAGAACCAGCCACCTCATTCAATAGTGGATAATAAGCCAAGTAAAGGTGGTGATTTGGCTCGCTGGACTTCATTATCCATACAGCCTGGCTGTTTTTCTCTTCTACTACCAAGAATTAATATGCATGAACAACTTCTCAATTTTTGTTACAAGAGAGGGTACGTACCAGGTTGTGAATCACATTTGTTAAAGTCCAGACGACAGGGACACTAAAGAAAGGAATGCTGAGCAAGACAATGTGCAGCATGCCGACTCCCAGTGCGTACGTCAGCCACATTCCACGACTGTTCATCACCCGCGTGTTTGGATTTACCTCGCTGTGGGCAACTCCTACGTTCATTTTTACCCTAAAAAACAGATCTGTTTGAAGGCTGAGACTACGGTTATAGACAAGTACTTAACATACGCAATTTTCAAATTTGGGAAATGCACAGTGCATAAGCCAAGATGTACCTTGAGACCTTCCAAGTGTGGTTGATTGAGAAGCCAGTTCAAAGGGGCTGTTGGGAACTGTTTGCTTAAAAAAAAAAAAGTCCAAACAAATAAAGCCCACAAGCCTGCTACAAAAGGGACATGTAAGAAAAAAAAAAAAAGCTGTGCTGTTAGAAGCTGAAGTTGCACACCTGCAAGAAACCAAGCTTTGTAACTTGTCCTCTAAATTCTTTCCTCCATCCACAACATCGGAAGTTCTTTTCCACTTCCCAGATTAAACAATTTTCCTCCTGCTTCTCATTCATGTAATGGCTGGTAAAGAATCCTGCATATGCCACTTGCCCAGCCACCTACTGCTAGAAAGAACGAACGAGGACTAATTTACACCTGCTTTTCTCACAGCAGAGAGCAGGTTTCAGATTTTCCTCTTCTCCCCATCTGTTAGTTTTCAGACACACATTCCCATCTTTCAAATCTGGCTGAAATTAGCCAACAGGCTCAAAAGTTTTCTAAGTGACAAGACATACAGAGAGATACATGGAACAATTCCATAACGCCCATTTCTTCAGGAGATAGGCTAGAGGTGACACTCTCGTCCCACGGTACTAAAATTTGGAATGATAATTTTTAAAAAATCGTTTTGTACTTCATAGTCACGTGATCTGGGAGCCTGTTTATATTCGTTTAAAGGACTGGGATGGAGGCTTTTTAACTTCCTTCTAAATCATTCCACAAAAGCACTGTTTGACCAGCAAAAATAGTTCGCTTTTGGTAGGGAGTTTGTTTCTTAGACTTGCTTAGTGCTAAAGCACTGTAATACCCAGGTCTTTCGCAATATTTACAGTAGGCTGTAGAATAAAAATAGATGCCATGACCCTGAAATTGAACGGGGTCCATGCCGGTTTTAACCGATACTTGTTGCAAAGTCTTTCATAACGGGCAGGGAACACATCACCCCAGAGGGGCGAAGGGGTTGTTCCTCCCTCCCCGGGATGCCGGGCCGGCGGTAACCGAGGACCTACACGTATCTCGCCATATCTACCACCTCTTCCTATTTTTGCCTCACGTTTCTGTTTGTTCTGACGGCACCTTCCCTCAGCTCGCTTCCCTCCCCACGAGGAGCCCAGCC